GGGCAACGAGGGTGAAATAAAAAATAAAAAAAATATATAAGGCCGACAAATGCCAGAGACACAACTAAATGCACCTACATATATACTTACACTTTCAAGGGGGCACAAGCGCACACACACATACAAATAAGCATTTAATTTATGCCGGAAGTTGTTAACTTTCAACTTTTTTTTGGCGTTAAATTTTCGTTTTATTTTTGTAATTTTGCTTTGCTACGCTCGCATTTTTATTGCCAGTAAGGGATTTGTTTTTTTTTTTTTTTTTGCAAAATTGTAGGTATATGCTGAAGGCACCCAAACATGCATACATACATACGTACTACATTTGTATGCACTAAATGCTTTATGTGTGTATTTGTTCCACTTCTTTGCCGGTGTAAAAATAAAAAATAAATATGAAAACAGCAACTGTATAGCAAGTACACTCTACGAAACCGCACTTGAGTCGGCAGAGACGTTCAAGTATTTAGCGGAGGTGCGGTGGGCAGTGAGATGATAGTAGGTGTATTGCGGGTCAGGACGTGAATTGCGGCCTCAACGTATTATTCACCCGGATGTTTGCATTGTATACCCTACGGTGGCTGCCCAACTTTGGCTTCACACCCCCCACAGGCATGATTTCGCCCACGTCGACGTGCCAAAATATTGTACGTACTTAAGTACAGAGCTCAAATATTGCTTGAAAATGGAGCAACAACATGAAATTGATACGAAAATGTGCCATGTTTTACTACGAAACTTTTGTCTTATTATTATTGCTATTGTTGTCGTAGATTTTGAGTTTCATATTTCATTTTGTCTTTGGCTGTTCTGCTTTTTTCTGTATTTTTATTTTTTTTTGTTAACATTTTTTTAACGCATAGCAATTATTATATTGTACCCACGGGGGCAGTTGTATTTTCGCGTCGTTTGCTTTGATTGGGGCACCAAAAATACGATTACAAAGAAGAAAAAAGAAATGAATGTATCAAAATTTGTACAAACTATAGCCGCTTGCTGTGGGAATTGGATATTGATATATGTTTTGGCGGTTATTTTTTAACACCTAAAAGCTATTGGCAAGTGTTAAAATAATATGTAAAATAAATGCTTGGAGCTAGAAAATTAGTTTTTTGGTTTATTTAATGAAGAAAAGTGAGAGCTTTAATTTTTACATATCAATATCTGATGTTTTTGAGCTCTGTAACTCTTTTACATTGCTTTCTTTCAATGAACCCGAAGAGTAGGTAATGCTAACTTTTTTCTGCCGTAGACAAAGGGTTAAGCTCAGTACAAGTTTGAAAATAACGATAGAAATTTTACTGGAAATAAATAGCTTTTTTGCTTATGTTTTCCTACTTTTCTAATTTTGTATAGTTTTGGACAGATTTTCACATTTATTTTCTACAGCGTACGGACCATTAAGCTTAGTATCCTGCTCTGAAGAAAATTGTGGGAGATATTTGTAATTTTTTTCTTTCACTTTCACTTTCACTGGGCCATACCGCGCAATTTAAACTTCTTTACATAAATTTCTAGTTTGTTACATATTGTAGAAATTTTTATTGCTCTAATTATTAGCCTTATTCTTAGTCTTTGTATTCGTACGCGTCTTCGGTTTCGGCGTTGTTTTCATCTGAAATTTGTCTTCGCACTCAAATTCATATTCGTCTTCAACTTATTTGTATTCGTCTTCGTTTAAGATATAGTATTAGTTCTTCGTCTTCGGGTTCGTATTTGTATTTGTATAGTGAACGTCTTCCTCTTCATCACACTAATATCCTTCGTATTCGTAGACGTCTTCGTCTTCGTCTCCAACACGTCTTCAAATAAGTTTTTGTATTCGGTCACATTTTCGAATTCGTAATCGTATTCCTATTTGTCTTGATGTTCCTAATCATCACCGTATTCGTCTTCATATACGCACATGTCCGTATTCGCGTTAACCTTCATCTTAATCTTCGTCTTCGTCTTAGTATACATCTTACAGGGCAATTATGGTAACTGTCTTTGAACTTACCACAGACTTTGAAAAGACAAAGGCCTTTTGTAAGACAATTTTCAATTCTGACAACTATGTATTGTGGAATGATTTTCCGTCAACCCTTGTCAAATTTAGTTTGGATACAAACCGGTTTCGGCGTTCTGCCATCTTCAGTGTCATTTTCGTTATAACAGCCATTAGGTCAGCTATGCCTAGATAAGTGCGTCAGTTTTTGTTTCAATATCTCACTGGTAGGTGCTTTCTCGTTGCTTGTATTCGTCGCGTGTAGATATCCGTTATTTTAATTTTCATACATATAAAAGCGGAAGTAAACACGAACTACTCAGAACGAAAAATGACACTGAAGATAGCACAGTGCAGATTTTTGAGTTACCCCTCGTGCCTTCGGCATCGCGCGGGAAGTCAGCATCGTATGTTTCAATAAGCAAACTTCCGTCTTGGAGCAGGCGGGTTGCTATATAAATGTGCGTATGTATTTTAAACCACAGTAGTGCCTGTGCTTGGAACCCGCCACATAAAAAGACTGAAAAATTAAACTCGACTGATTACCCCCATCTAAGTGAATGTCCCTCGCAAACTGAACAAGGATAACGATTTACGTATATGCACCTCCAGTGCTCAGATCCGACATATGGAAGAAGTTTTTATCTAACTATTAGATGCCAAAGCTGCTATGAGTCGATGCAGGATTTGGTATTGGCCGGAGACTTTGACAATGTAACATCAGGTTCAACGCCATCAGTAAACGAATTGTCACAATTGTCATCAAAGCTAAGTTCAACAAAAAAAAAAAGAACAGAGAACGACGATTAGGGAAAGCAACTTTTCTCAGAGCGCCTGGGAGAAGATACATATATTTGGTGCTACAATCGGAAAACTTAGCCTCCAGAAGAAAACCTCCAACAATGGAGAGAAGCTGGTCGACTTCGCCGCAGAACGGAAAAGCGTAGTGAATACGCCACTTGGGTGTCTCCTGATCAATGAAGCCATAATCAAGTTTTCTCAGAAAAATTAAACCCTTCAAGCCGACCCAAAGTGCCAAATGCAACCAAGATAAGCTGACCTACAGCCAATATATGTATATATATATACATCTATATATAGTCGCTTTCAACGTTCACTTAGTAACGATTAATTTAATGCGAAATAATTTTACTTTTGTATCACAAATGTCGCATTTTAAGCCTAATTAAGTTAGCAGGAAATAAAAGCAATTGTTATTGTCGCCGCTGTGTTGCACCTTTTTTTGTTCATATTTAGCTCATGCATATATGTACATATGTATGTAAGTTAACTCATTTACTACATGGTTATAATTGTAATGCATTGTAATTTATTTTATTTACACGTTTGCTTGCATACAAAAACACAAAAACACTCACACATATGTACATATGAAAGTATATAAAAGCGCACATATGCAGCAACTGGGTATGTGTGTTTGCGGCAACACCCTTGCTTGGCATATTTGTATGGTCATCAAATTTATACATACATAAATACATATATATTTTCATTTCGTGTTGGCAGTCAGTTTGCGCGTAAATTAACACATTCTTATCCAGTTAGGACATCGCAGAGTAGTTATTGGGAGTTTTTGTTTTGATATTTTGCACTACCTTTTTTTAATTTTCAGATCTGTTGATAGATTTTTAAATAGTTTGAAGGAACAATTAAGTCAGTAATTAATATGAGTAATTAGAACGTGTACGTAAAGACAATATTTAAATGCAATTTAAACTTTAAAAGCAACAAAAAAATTAATATTTTATAAGGGCTTGAAGAATTGATTACAAACGAATAGCAGGAAAAGTGTTTTTACACTTCCAATTAAGGATTTAATTATACATATATGTATGTACATACTAATTGCATTAGGATTGGAAGGAAAAAAATAAACAAAAGTTACCACTGCCCGACAACACAATTTTATAGCGGCTAAAAATTGCGTTGTTCTTAAATATTTTTTTTTTTTATGTCGACCTTTGACAAAAAGGTGAAGGCCAAATTGAAGATAAAGCCGAAAATAAAAACAATAAGAAATACATAAGAATTAGGGTAGGGAAATTCAGTCATGAAAATTTCGTTACCGAAAGTTATGAAGTTATCGAAATTTATCGAATCATCGAAGTTTATATTTATTGAAAATCATCGAGTCGCCCATGCTTATTGAGTTATCGAAACATATCAAATTGTTCAAATTGATCAATCTTTATTGAGTTTTCGAAATTTATAGCCACAGAAAATTAGTTGTCGAAATTTACGGATAGTTATCGTGCCATAAAGATTTATATGATTATCGAAATTTGTCAAGTAAATGAATTTCATAAGTTTATCGATATTTATTGAATTAACCGTATTTATGGAGTTAAGGTTATTTATCGAGCTACAATAATACATCGAGTTTTTTGAAATCTTCGAGTTATCGATGTTTATTGATTTACTGAATTTCTCGATTTATCGAATGGAGGTTCTTGGATTTTTTTTTAATATATTGAGTTATCGAAATTTAATCGTTTTTGTCATTCATTTCTTCATCATCACACTTATCTTTACTACAAAGTTTTAATTCAAACACAAAGTAAAACAAAATTCGAAAACAACTCAAATTGAACAGGTTACAATAACAAAAATATGCACAAGCCAACCAATTTTAAAACCGTAAAAAACTTTCCTCATTTACAGAAAAATAACTTTCCAAAGGGGTTCGGTCCGCCGGACAAATTTTATGTTAGCGTATTAATATATAGATGACTTTTACTTTTTTTTCTCTAGGCCCAGAAGGTTTGTTTTTATCAACTGTCACCATGACGTTTTTCCACTACATATAATAGAAACACTAAGCGCCTCTATGAAATGTTTCCCCGCCTTAGGTGTAATGACGATTTTAACCTATATACATATGTATTTCTATTTGTATGTACTTGTAAGCAAGAACTAGACTCGATGTCAGTATCCGAAATGGCCGTCAGTAACATTTCTTTATTGACAATATTTCCAGTTTGGCCAATGGGTTATGGAGGAAAATAACTCACCAACTGGGTTAGAAAAGAACCCAGTCATGAGGTAAGTTGATGTTGTTGCTTTTATAAGCAACGTTATAGATTTAAAGCATATCATATTTGTATTTCATAAAAGTATATGAAAAAGTTTTTTTTTATATTATTAATTTAGTTTTAGTTTCAGTTTATATTTATTTTTTGTGCTCACCGCCTGGAAAAATTAGTTATGTGGACATTATAAAGAACAACTTATAAAAGTGAATTAAAGCTATTGTCTTCTTAAATCACTAAATCTTTTGAACCCTAGTAAATATTTTAAGTACTAACTAGCTTTAGCTGTTGTTGTTATTGTTCTTGAATTCGGAAAGAGTATATCAATCGCCTTCGCAACCAGAGTTGTAAAGGATAGACGCAAATTATTCAAAACCCTCTGCCTGAGGAATCTGCTCTATTTCCGATCGAGCGAGCCTTAGTGTTAATGAGGAATCAAATAAAAATACCTACATAAATAAGTATATATGTAGAAATTGTCTGAGCTGATTTCAGACCTCTGACCCTCAGACCTCGGGTTGTAGTAGTCAGCAATGTCAAATAAATATGTAAAAAGTACCAAAAGCGGCAAGTCATTTAATTTTCAACAGAGCGAATCATTTTATGTTATTTGTCACTAAAACAAAGCCTACAAACCTTGCATATACACGTAAAAACAAGTACGTTAATATGTATGTATGTATCTGAGTAAACATTGGCTACCCTTATGTCGGAAATTTCTGTACTTCCAAATAAACAGAAAACTAGCCACTTGAACAGAAACAAAAAAACAGCAGCTAAATGAAATAAGCAAGTACGCGACAACAAAAAAAAAACGCGTGCGTGTTGTTGACAAATTTGCGTGTCATTGACAATTGAAAAAAAAACAACAACAAAGAAATTGTACATAACAAATAAATAACAGCTGCTGGCTTAGCGTGTATACAAGGAATTTGTAGCAATTTCACCTGCATACACGCATTTATAAAGACACTTAATATATCGTGATTGCATATATTATTAAAGTTAGTGATAGTTATTAAAGTCCACATGCACTAAGCTGCAACTACCTGCATGCCCAGCAAATAAGCTGGCGGTACTTAAACTATGTAGTTAATTGCTAGTCCATTTGGAAAACTTCTTCTTATCTCATAGTTAACAGATATACGTATTGAAGTCTACTGTGTTCTTTAAGATATATTTTAATTATAAATTCTGACCTTTTATTAAAAATTTGTCATAAGTTTTCAATCTTGTGATTCGTGAGCTTCAAACTTGATTATGTTGAAGGGAGTGTGTAATCAAAGAAGAACTTTCGAATCAAAATTTTAACTTTTCTACAAGAAGAATAAACGGAGTTAAAGGACATCTTTTTTACACAGTAAAGTTTTAGTGCTTTACAATTTTCTCAATACAGCAAATACCAAAAATGTTGTTTTTGGAAATATTAACGATTATCGATATATTAATCGGTTGTTTATCGATATATTCATCCCTATGTTTTCCGATATCTATTACCTATTTATTACCTATCCATACGCTTATCGATTTTTCTGGTTGCAATTTGATAGTTCGATTTGTATACTTTTTTAAGGAAATAAAGTAGCTCATTATATTTGTATTCGGATTTGTACTCGAATACGCTTAACGAAACTTAATATTGCGCAATGATTTGTATTTACATTGCTTTGAATTAAAAAAAAAAAAAAATAAACTTTGGACAACAGTGCGTATGAGCAACGCATTGCATTGGATACAAGTTTCAGCAGCATTGAATCGTTATTTCATTCTTCCCCGCGTCTTAAATAACCTCTTTTTTCTATTCTATTCTATTCTATGAGAATGTCCTCGCCGTTATCTATCGAACTGAAATCTGGTTTGTTCCCGAAACACTTTAAGATTATATTGTCCTTTTAATTCAAATACTTTTGGACTGTTTTAAGTTAGCTTGCAATTCCTCTGTGAAAAATAACTTCCTCGCGATCACCTTGAGCCCAAATTTAGTTACCAATTACAACATTTAGCAGAGCTGAGCGCATTTTACTTGTGGGAGTACCTAATTTTAAAAATCTGTAAGCTCTATTAATTATAAACTTCCAGCACCGTTACTCATTTGATTTTAGCCCCACTAACTATTTCCATATAAACGGTGAACTCTTTAAATGTTGCCCGATTCTGGTATTCTGAGGTCTTCTGATTCGGTTTTCCAGTACTTCTCCATATATATTCGAAGCTTTCGAAACCGCCTCGATCGTGGCATTTTTTAGCATAGGAATTCAGGAGCAGTTTATCCTGGATTGCCAATTTTTTGCATTGTCGGACAGCGACGAATAAGTGGTGTTCAGGAAACTATTCTATGCCGGTTAATAGTGAAAATCTACCTATGCTATCCCTAAATTCAATGAGTGCAATACTCGAAACGATATTGAAGAATATTCATTATAGAATAAGACAAGTGTGGCTCAGAGAAAACTTAGAGTTGACGCATTTGATCATTTTTACTTGAAAATGTACCAATCTTGGTCTCCATCCAAGCTAGGAAGAACCACGCTAGTACTAAATCATTTAAAACATATCTAGCAACTAATATGAACAGTATATTTAAATTGGATAATTGGAAAAATTAAAGCTCCAGTAAATTATGAACAGGAAATTCTAGTTTTAAAGTACCACAATAAAAAATCCAACTTATCTTAATTTGAATGAACTTTCTGAAGCGAGCTGAGCAAAAAAGAAAAACAAGACTTTATAGAAAAGTAACAGAATCAAACAAATATAAAAATCGTCAACAACAATTTGCTGTATTCCTATTTATGCCAGTAATCGCTTCGGCGAATAGACGCTTATTTAAATGACATCAAAGTTCAACGTTGAATGGAACATGGCGGAAAACTGGTTAGACAACAATAATGTGGCTGACATGTGGTATTAACAAGCAACAAAAACTCTCATTAGCTACGCGGCAAAATGCTAATTTAACTGATGCAACAACAATTGGTCTTTGAACAGCCAACACCGCCCTCTGTTGCATAATAGTGCAACACTTTTCCGCTGAGAATTTTCAAGTAAATATTTGCATTTAATACATAAATATGTACACTAGGGCGGGCCAATTTGCAGGGGAGACTTTTTCGACTATGCGAGTATTGCACAGAAGGATTCTACGTGCAATTCTAAGCAAATTTGCAGACGAAATCATGGGTCTAAAATCAATTTGGAGTTTGCCAAATTGCAAAAAAGGGTTACTTAGCATTTTTCTGTAGTATCGTAAAGAAGTGCTTAAATTTTGTACAAAAACATGCTATAAGGGGTTTTTTCGTATGAGGAATCCATTTTTGGACTTATCTTTTTCCCAAAAATTCGACCAGGGGGCGCAGCAGTGAAAATTTTCACATTTTCTTCGAAACATATTTTCGCAATTTAGAAAACTCCGCCCTAATGTACGCACATTTATGTATAGTGTAATTTTAAGAGTTTTATACCAAACAAAATTGTGGCCACATTTGTGTTAGTTAAACTGTAGCTAATAAGCTGTTATAAAACCGTTTGGCAATCAACATTTGGTTACCACTTAGAACATACTTTGCGACATAGAAACTATGCGGTACTATGTGGCTTACAAGCTCTTTTATCGCGCACGTGAATGAGAGTAAATACTACGAGTGTACATACAAACATATGTATGTGTATTAGTGCTAAGTACTGGAATAAATAATTCGCATGGGCATCATTACGCCTATTTAGAGCTGCAATTGGAATGAGGTGTAAATTAAGTTAAAATGAGCGCAGAGGGACCTTACATACACGAATATGGAGTTGACTTGCAAGTACAAAATGTTTTCAAATTATTACAGGCACAATTATGTGAATATCATAGAAGCTTATGTACAAATATAGAATTCTAAGATTTTAATTATTAAATTGCTACTATTTAAATGATTTTTGCATCGTTTACTTATTCATTTTTATTGTTGCCTCAAATGAAATGCACCAACAAAATAGCCATTTTAAATTCACACAATGACTACGCTCTGATTGCAATCTATTCGTATAATTGATTGAAAGCCCTGCGGTGCAAAAATAGCGAGGTATTAAAATTTATTTAGTTATACGAAATTCGTGATGCAATTAAATACAAGCGGGTGTGTAATTGCATGAAAAGCGTTTCGATAATTGATTCAACATAAATTTAAGCAAATAATTTTAATCAAAACAATCGTAAGTAGCTACATACATATGTATATGCATGCCTGCACATTAGGATGCATAGCTTTGCATACAAAAAATAGGTATTGTTTTACCGTCGGAATTATATGATTTGTTAAATTTTCAGCCATTCGCCAAAATATTTCTGAAAAATCTTAAGATTAACATGAGCTAGAAAGATGTGAAATTACCTCCCAAAATCGAGTTTTTTGTAAATGAAATTAGTGTTTAAAAATATTTTTTCCAAAACGTCACCTCAGATGATAGCAGATCTTAAGTTTAAAAGGCGTGCATATAAATGTTTGAAAATTTTATCACCGAAATCGAAATAATGAGATTTTTGGAGAGATTTTCAAATAGGTCTAGTTCACGTAAATCTTAAAATTTTTCCAAAATAATTAGATATGATTAGTCTTAAGATATAAAAATTTTATAATTGTAGGTGAAAAATTCAACGTTTTTTGGTGAGGCATCCTAATGTGCATATGCGCTTTGTTAATAAATATTGTGTAATATCACTTAATGGCAATTTGATTTTGTATTTCCGATGAAATAGAAAAAAATCGTATAAATATTCATCACAACGTCTTAAAGCTCAATGAGGCAGTCTGCTGTTATTAATGAATCATGCAAGGAACTAAAGAAAAAATAAAATTGAGGGAATTTTCTATATACTATATGTATATATCGATATACAGTAAGTCCTTCCTCCATTCCGCCAAAGCGGGTAAATTTTTACCAGTTTGCATGCCTTAGAGGATTTTTAAAGTAATACTTTTTCCCTTCACATTGCTGAATGTACATATAAATTCTGAATTTATATCGAAT